GTGGCATTTGCACGCTTAGAGGTTTGTTTCTGAAATCCTTGGAAGTTTTCTTACATGGAATCTGTTAGGTTTAATGAAGTTTTTAATCAACTGCATTAAACACCACCTCCCAATTAACAATGGGCATATAGTCAGTGTGAGAAGGAACATCCTGTGATTTGGTAACAACAGGTGGACCTGCAGGAGGGATTTCCATCTATCTCTGATTTCTGACAGTTTGAAATAGAAGTAATGCATCCAGAAGTATAGATTTCCTTCTAATAAATGTAAAGTAAGATAAATCCATCCTGAATCTTTAATGTGGCAGACATTAAAGAATGGGAAAGTCTAGGTAGGCTTGTCACAGTCATGTAGAGTGAAAGGTCAGCTAACAGTAAGTAGACTATACTGGGTTTCCTTTCATTTATTTTTCCTTTTCTCAATTTATGCCACAAATTTACCACTTTGTGACACAATGTTGGTTATTAATTTTCCTTTTTTCCCCCCTTGTCTGTTAAATTCAATAGAAAAATCCAATTATTATGTAAATAGAGCCTTGCTGTAATTGTCACAAACAAGTTAGCATAACAATGAAGAGCAACAACTTTCTGAAGTCAAAGCAAGCACTGATTTATGACTATCTCTGCGGTGTGATTGATACAGACTGTTTTGGAGGAGTATTTTCAACATCTCCTTCGTTTTACAGCCCACTTCCTCAGATCAGCCCAGCTGAGGCATGTTTGCAAAGAGAAGTTGCATTGGAAGAGGGAACTTTCCACAAATTCATTTTCTTTTCTTTAAAGAAGGAAAAAGGGGAAAAAAAGCCCCACAAAAGCCATTATTCAGACAGTCTTCTTTTTAAAATGTTTCCAGCAGATGTTTATGTAGAGAATGTGCTGGAGCTCCTTCAGCAAGACACAGAAGTGACATTTCTTGAGGGTTTTAGTTGAGGAATTTGTCTTTCACATCATGTCTTTAAACATCTGCAAAAGGCAACAGAATCTTTATTATCCTGCTAACTTGAAGAAAGGCACAGTCCTGACTCCTTAAAAAATGGTATTTAATGGGACTGACAGATGAGAAATATCTAGCTCTAATGTTTTCCTTCAGTAGAAATTCACCTCTTGACCTTATGACTCCAGAGTACGCCTTCTGAAAAAGACCATTTCCTTCCATTCAGATGTGCTTTCTGTGGTTTTGTTGTTTTGTTTTTCCTTACTGCTCAGTTATCTGCTTTAGGGGAAGGTATCGTCCTCAGGATTCAAACAAATATAAGCTTATAAATACCACAAACACACTTGTGCTCAGTCTGTTTATGGCCTTTGTGCTTTCAACCCTCTTTTAATTTCTTCAGTTGGGTATTTTTCTTCTTCCTCACTAAAAATCAACGCTACCTTCTTTCCTTGCCTTTTCTTTTAAATGGATTTTGAAGGGGTGGTATAAGTCAGCTTTCCTATTCCTATCCTTGAGTTTGGTTATTTGCTGCAGTGCAGAAAAGATGGACTGGGGCCATTAGTCAGGGCTGCCCAGGTTGGCCCTCCTGCCTTACAAAGTAACCTTTTGAAGAAGAATTCAATCTATCTTTGGGTTTTCTGGTTTGTTTCAGGTTCTTAGAGGGGTGATGCAGGTTTGGCTGTGGGTTTTTTCACTCTCCACTGTATTATATTTCGGTTGTTGAACCTTTTTCTCCCCCCTCCTTCTTTTTCTCTTTACTTTTTTTCCTCCCTCAAGGGTTTTCTCTGGGAAAAGTTTTCTGGGCTTCCATCCAGCCAGTGTCACAATTCACAGCTGTACTGTTTGATTCAAGTACTTCAAGCTGCCAGTGAGGTAGAGCCAAATGAGATTAAGGGCTTTTTTATTAAAGCAAGCACCCGCATGTGCTGGTATGGTTAAGGCTACGTCAGGCGTTCCAATACGAACCCCAATTTCTGGAGACCTTTAGTTCTCAAACATAAAATATCTTTGCCAGGCTGAAACCCGACCTAGATGCACTCATCTGGGAGGAGCTGTAACTCTTTGGAAAGAAAGAGTTTGGCTTTTATTAAGTTACAGCTTCAAGAAAGGAAAATGTACTGATTTCAAGATAAGCAGCTAAGAAAAAAAGAGAGATGAATGTTAAAGTGTATGTTAAAAACAGCAACAGGCATAAACTAAATGAGATATTTTAAATGGATTCATGGTGAATTTTAAGGGAAGCAATGCTTTTTGTAGCAAGAGATTCATCAATTATCTTCCTTCCCTTGCACACAATGGATTTGAGCCCTTAGTGCTGGTCAAACTCTGATACTCCCAGCACTGCCAAACTACTGCTGTTCCTTTTGATTTCTGACATGAGCCAAAAGCCGAACCCACATTTCCAGAGAGAAATGCATTTTTAAGCTCCCTTTCCTTTCACAAAACACCCAAATGAGACCACTTTCTTTTTATACTGATTCTTATCTTTTTTGTCAACATTTGTGCAGATAAATGAATTGATATTTTAAGCACAAACATACATGTGTCTATGGAAAACAAGAATGTGCTGTAGTAGAGCTGATCAAGAATGTTAAAGAAAAGAAACAAATGGAAGAAAATTAGAAGCTTTACAGAAAAAAAGACCCAAATCATCACTGTAAACTTTTTTTCCATAAACTTGGGCCAACTAAAAAGTGAATCATAAGGTTTTGAAAGTTATTGATATCTCAATTGTTGGAATTCTCAGACAGAAGTAGCCTTTTTCAGTATTAGGTCACCCTTTCTTTTTCCTTTTTGTCCAGCTGTGTTACTGAGCATCACAGGTGCCTTGATGAAGCCCCTGTGCGCACACTGACAGAGGCAAGCCTTCATCCTTTCAAGACAAGAGGTACTTTCATATAAACATATGTCTGGGATGGCACTGCGGTTGACAGTGTGAGCTTTAATTCTCTGTCCAGGAGCCGAGAGGCAGCTACAGCTCTGTGTTCTCATTTGAGGGGCCATTTCAGGAGAGGGATATTCAGGTATAAGGAGTAACTTCAGCTGAAGAAACTAAAAGCAAAATCAATTCTTGAGAGTAATTTCTTATGAATTGGGTGTTTTTTTATTTAAAATCTCCCCTTTTGATATAAATCACTAGGAAAAAAAAAAAAAACAAACCAAAACTCCAAACGGAAAATTTGGAGTGTTTTTTTTTTTTAATTTACTGTTGAATTCTTCAATTTAATTTAGAGGCTTTGTAGTTTCTTGAGATGCTTCATTTCAGTTGGTCGTGTCACCCTGAAGTTGCTAATCCAGCCTTAGCTTACCTGTCACAATGCAACAGCAGTAATCAAATGCCAGCCCTCCCTTGGACCATATGTTTTAACTGATGTTGTATCATAGCTGACACTGTAAATACTGGATGCCAGTCTGTATGTCACTGTCCTACCATTTTCAAGAGGGGAATTTAGGAAGGAAGGGGAAGTTAGAGCTAAACCTGTAATAAGGCTGACAGGTTTTCATAATTGCAGTGTAATGCCCTTGTTCTGCATATCCTCATGGTCAGGCATTTTTTAGCCATTTTCTGGATTCCTCCCTCACACACTAATGATTACCAAGATACAAATACCCACATCCTCATAGCTGCTGCTCATGTAATCCTGGCAGTGATTTGAGATTTATATGCTGAGAGACTCCTTAAGCCTACAAGACTCTGTAATCAAAGGCAGCAACATTAATATTCTGTGCAAATGTGAAGAAGCCATGAAAGCTTTGTTTGTTGCTAAAGAAACCAACTAAATCAAACAAGTTGAAGAAAACAAAGACTTGTATAATTGTTTTAATTAAAACTGCCATTTATTTCAGCAAAACTGCAGCACAGTCGTGCTCTCCAAACATTTCTTGCATAGACTTGCATACTCAAAAAGTATTCTTAATAAGTGAAATAAAACATTGCCAACCATTTTCCAGTGCCCTTTGACACAAAAGCTCCTAAACAAATTGCAAGAAACCCATGCAAAACTTTGGGATGTTTACTTCAGATTTTATCCAAGAGGAATTTATGGAACTTGCCATTCAACTCCAAAGGCATGTTATCTCCAGTGAAATGTAACGCTGCTTAAATCTTCAAAGAACATCATGGCATTTAGCCATAAAACTCACTGTGACTTTAGACATTTAAAAACAGCATTAATGCCAGGATCAGACTGCCCTGTATGATTGTTTTAAGTCTTCAGGGCCACAGGCATGCTCTCTTGGGTCTGGGCCCTCCATGTGTTCAGTTTCCAATACAAGTTAAAGCACCAACTGCTTTGCCTTTCTCTAGCTGCTAAGCCCCTTCACCTCTTCCCACCCCACAAGGTTATTCTGGCATCTCCAAACAAGTCGGATACAGAAGGGATTTTGATAGTAGATCCTCAGCTTCTGCAACCAGTGCTAGCCTCTGCTTCTTAATTCAAAGTATGAATGATACAAATACATCTCAGTTTTAATTGAAGGAGAATGTCTGACCTTTCTATAAAATAGAGTCACACAAGGTTCCTGTATTTCTTCTGACCTTTCCAACACTTGTAAGGCTTTTAAGCACACACGTTCAGCTTAAATTTGAAATCTTTTGTCTTCCTCAAGAATAAATTGGCTTCCAGTGCAAAATTTGAGCCCACATTTCACTGTTAGTATTTGAATCCAGCATGTTGTTACCGTGTGGTAACCTGAACCACGCTTTCTTTCTCCTCTCAGATAATCTCTTCAGATACTATAGTTTGTCTTGAGCCTGTCTTTTATCTTCTTTCTCAGCAGTCTGAGAGCTCTTCACCAATACTTGTATTTGTGAAAGTGTATGCTAAGAACCATTTTTTGCATATATTAATTTTCTGTGTCATTTCAAAGACCTCCCTTTTTTCCAAGCATTAGCATTTTTAAGCTTGGAAATATCCTATGGGAAGCCATAATCTATCAATGAAAGCCTTGAAATTTTCTTCTAAACATATGTTTGGGTGAGTTCTTTGGTGGAGTTCTTTGGAGGCTGTAAAGGAGCTTATAGTAACAACTCCCTTTTATTCTTCTCTTTCATTTTTCTTTTCCAGTGACTGGATAACTGAAACAATTTGAAGTCTGTTTTTACTAGAACCTGATCACCACCTGACTGAGTGAAGAAACTGAGGACTGTTTGAAAGTAAGGCCTTTGGCAACACATACACCTAGCTCAGACTGTCTCACAGATTCATCTTATCATATAAAAGGCTTTTCCCAGCGTTGCCTGAGAACAGTGAAAACCTCATTATGAGCTGAAAACTGTTTGGGATTTCAATGTTGATAATGAAAATCTTATTTATGGAATTGCTGAATACACAGATAAAGTCTAAAAAGCAACAGCCTACTAGACAAAATAACAGTCCTAGGGAAAAGGAGTAATGTAATTACATCATTCCTATTTTATAGTGGCCTTTTCCTTCCATGTACATATTGAAAGAGAGTCAAAGAATTGTGAGATACAATTGTTTCTGGCATCTTCCAGCCTGATTTCAGAACTCACATGAGTTTCCTGTGTCCAGTTAATAAGCTGAATGCAAAAGTCATTCAGAGCAATCCCAGGCACAGCTACAGGTTGGGCAGAGAAGAGATTCAGAGCAGCCCTGTGGAGAAGGACTTGGGGGTGTTGGTTGATGAGAAAATGAACATGAGCTGGCAGTGTGCACCTGCAGCCCAGAAAGCCAACTGTATCCTGGGCTGCATCAAAAGGAGCATGACCAGCAGGTCGAAGGAGGTGATCCTGACCCTCTACTCTGCTCTTGTGAGACCTCACCTGGAGTATTGTGTGCAGTTCTGGTGTCCTCAACATAAAAAGGACATGGAACTGTTGGAACAAGCCCAGAGGAGGCCACGGGGATGATCAGGGGACTGGAGCACCTCCTGTATGAAGACAGGCTGAGAAAGTTGGGGCTGTTCAGCCTGGAGAAGAGAAGGCTGTGTGGAGACCTCATAGCAGCCTTCCAGTATCTGAAGGGGGCCTATAGGGATGCTGGGGAAGGGACTCTTCATTAGGGACTGTAGTGACAGGATAAGGGGTAACGGGTTAAAATGTAAAGAGGGGAAGTTTAGATTGGATACAAGAAGGAAATCCTTTCCTGTTAGGGTGGTGAGGCACTGGAATGGGTTGCCCAGGGAGGCTGTGAATGCTCCATCCCTGGCAGTGTTCAAGACCAGGCTGGACGAGGCCTTGGGTGATATGATTTAGCATAAGGTGTCCCTGTCCATGCAGGGGGGTTGGAACTAAATGATCTTAAGGTCCTTTCCAACCCTAATTATTCTATGATTCTATGATTCTCTATTAGACAGTGCTAAAGATGTGAAAGCATTTTTCAGCTCAACAGCCTTTAGGCTCATGTAATGAAAGGTGTGAACCCCCAGTGGAGAAGGAAGGAAAAAGTAAGTAGGGATCAAGAAATTCCCATCCTTTTCTAAAAGACAGAATAGGTCTTCTTATGAGCTGTGTTGTCTCCATACTGCTAACAGAGCTGTGATGGTAGAGCCAGCCTTCTTGGACTGAAACCTTTAGATTCATTCAAAGCCGAGACAAGTTTAACACGGAAATGTGTGTTGTAGGGGAAGAAAGGCTATACAGTTTCCTAACTCTCTATTTCATTAACACGCTTTTATTCCACTAAAATCAGTAATCATATCACAATAGAGCTAGTGAAATATAGTGGGAAATAAGGCCCTTTAATATAAACCTCTCTGTCTGTCTGTCCTTCTATATGGCACCTCCCAACATAGTGTCTGAGTGCAAAGTTCTTCACCCTCTTCTGATTTCAAACTTAAAATGGATGTGGTAAAGACCTATTGTCCATAGTAAACTGCTCAAGATGAATCAGCTGTTCAGATTAGCCTCACAGAAATGATAATGGGGTTCTGTGTTCACAGCTGAGTTATTTAAACTGTCTGATTTGGTCCACAGCTTCCTTGGACATTAATAGGTTGACTGCTATGTTGCTGAACTTAGTGCATGAAAGGTCAGCCTTTGAAAAGCTAAATAAGGTAAGTGCAAACTGAAGCATGTTCCACGCGATTCCGCATGCTCTAAATGCACTTGAAACCCCTAAGAATCACTGCTGCTCCTTAGCATTTTTCCATATCTGATTTCAAAGTGGTAGATCCTTGGATCAATACTTTGAGTTTTACCTCTCATCCACCAGGAGATTCAGGGGGCTGCTCACATGTTATAAACATACGCCACTCCTGATGCATCTTGAGTAAAGCCGATTGAAAACTTTTGAGAAGATACAGCTTTTCATCAGTGAATGCAGGCGTGGGTGAATTTGAAAGATTTTCTCAGGACTACAGCAATTTGGCTGAAATTGCTGAGAAGCACCGCTATCAGGCAGGGACACTTCAATAAAGATGGAACACCTCATTTGACTTCTGTTTGATTATACTGTACATTCTAACATACTGTTGTGCACACCTTGAAGCGATTAAATCAAAATGAAGAATTCGAAGTGTATCAAGATGAAATGTTTTCAGCTGTCCCAGAACAAAAACATTTCAATTAAGGTAGCTTTGATGATCTCTGTGTTGAAGCGATTTCATTTTTGTGCTACCTTTCAGCATTTAGATCGTTACTTGTGCTTAAAAGAAAAGCAAATTTTGGCATGCTGATATTTCCCCCAGAACCAGCATCCCTCCTCTGCAGCAGCCCATGAGAGTGACTGGAAGAGTTAGAGTAAGAACGTCTCTCTTCCCCTTGCCCAAGCCCTCTCTTTGATGTGGGACCATGGCAGGGGGAGAGGAGGGAGAAGGATAAGAGTTAGGGTTATCATCTATAAATAGGCAGTACTTCACACTCACTTTCTTGAATGGTCTTAGAGCTCTAGGGGAAAGAAGAACAAAATGAATCTAAGAGAACTTTAGGGAAAGTTTTGTACATTTCAGGAATGTTCGAAAGTAAAAATTGGCTCTGGCAGTCCAAATTTAGAGGCTTATTCTTTCAAAAGTTTAATTTTGCCCTGTGTCTCCCAGCTGGAAAGCTTGTTGAGCAATAAGCATAAATGTTTGTTGAACATAAATCATTCCACATGACTAGTTCACCATCCACAAAAAGCATTGCTAGTCGTTTTCTACTTCTGTGGTTGTATGGTTACTGCAGTCTCCTGATGCAATAGAGCTAAATGCTAAGTGAAGGCAGCAGCTTGGTTCAGGCCTGGGTTTTTGGAATATGGGAGCTGTAAGCTGAGAAAACTGGTTGGGATTTTTAGCAAAGGAAGGTTGTCATCACACTTTGGCCTGAAATGGAATGCAACTGTCCATTGCGAAGGGACCCACTAGCAAAGATGTCAACGTTACTCAGAAATATTTTTGAGAGAATTGTCTTATAAGGACTTTACTGCATTGGATTTTTTTCATGTTTGTTTGTTTCATTTTTTTTCCCATAGGTGAAGAGGATGTAGAAAATATTCCAAGTGAATCCTACTGTGGCTTTTCTGTTGAAGGATTGTTTGGTGGGAGGTAAGCAAATAGGCCATTGCTGGTGATGATTAAACCACTCCAATCTTATGTTAAAAAGTATAATAAGAATCTTGTCCTCTAAACCAACAAGCAAGTGATACCCAAGCCAGGAAGCTCAAAATCCACAAAATAAACCTAATTCCAAAAGCTGGATTTGGTTATTAATTGACTGATTTCCTACCAATAAGAGCACACTTTCAGGCTGGTGGGCTTGATGAGAGGTACTTGAAAGCCCAAACTGAACAAGCATGTGAAATATTTAAGGCCACATTTTTATATTTATTAAAAACAGCCTAAATAATTAAACTAGTTGATTCACTAGTGGCTTTCAGGCTCATGCCCAGAGTGAAAGGTCATGACCTGACATACCAGGGCCCCACTTGGTACTGATGATTGACAGGAAAAGGAAATAAGTTGATATCTTTCACATGGGAATCACAGCTTGTAGCAACTATGAGCAAGTGGGCTATTTGGACTTTGTGGGAAAACTTAATTGTGTTATTATTCAAAATCTTCGTTCCCAAAGTTGGTTCAATGGTGATTTATTTACTTATGTGATAAAACAGCTGTGTACTGTAATAAAATACAGGTCACTTGCTGATGTTTAATGCACAAAAGTGCGGATATGTTTGGTTTCTTTTACTTTGAACTTACGTTCATGCTAGGCAGCAGGGATGACTGAATTGTCAGGAATTTTCTGTTAGTGCATTGGAAATAATTAATGTTCTCATCATACTATATATATATTCTTAGGTATGGAGAATGAGGAAGGCACCATACACTGAAATATGAGCGCCTCTCCACCATAAGCTTTCATTATTTCTTTATAATGATAAAAAGGGGCTGCATTCAGTGCCAGACAATGTCATGGCCCAAGAGATTTCAGTGGCCTGCAGAAAAAAGGAGAAAAAAGCATTTATGATATGAATGAGGATTTGAAATGGCTTTTTAAAAAAGGCCTAAGATCCACTTTCACCCTAAATTCTGAAATCACTTGAAAGATGTCTAGATGCAAGCGAGTTTGAAGAATAGCAACTTTCCACCAGGCTCTGTTTTATATGCAGTATTACTGCCATATTGGCCATGCTTTGTTACAAGGTCACATAAAGGTACCAACCAGTAGGGCACAGTCTCACTTCACGTATTGTCCGATTTGTTCTAGAAATGAATCCTGTCATCTTCCTCCGGAGTACATATTCTTTGCCCCAGTCATTTACAAGTTAGTTAAGTGATGCACTCTTTATTTACCACTCTGAGTTCTCCAGGAGAATTTTAAGCCTTAATATAACCTGATTATGACACTGATAAGCAGCCTGGTTACACAGTAAATCAAGATAAAGGTTGCTTCATAGGGGGTAAGAGCTGGTGGTATTTCTCCTGCATTGTTTTGGTGTCATTCCTTCATATTTAACATCGGGCCACAGTGCATGGTATTTTACAAACAGTGTAGACTACAGATCCTGCCACAGGAGTACATCTCTGTAATGAGTAAATTATTGTTCCCAGCTGCAAAAGAGAAATGAAATGAAGAAAAATGAGTCCGGGGCAATACGATACTCAGAACTGAAGCAATACCAGCCTGGAGCAATACCAGTCTGAGTCCGCTCAACATTGCAGCAGAAGGGGGAGCTACTCAGGATACAAACTTTTTTTCCATCAAAAAAGGTATGTACATCCTGCACCTACTTGTCCTGAAGGGAAAAGGCCATAATTAACCCAAATCCATCCATTTTCTAGAATTTATTCAATTCTAAAACTGAGATACTGCAAACTGGAGAGCGTAGCTATCACCAGAGCTGTCAGTGAAGTATCAGCTGCAGATACATGGAAACTTGTCTGCTGGGTTAGAGGCTGCAGTCTGACCTTGTGTAGCCCATAAAGGGTTTGAAAATTGTGACGGCTTTGGTTAATGACTGACTTTGGCTAGATTCAGCCTGAACATCAAGAGGCAAAAGGCTCTCTATCCTGTGCCAGTTCTCTGATCTTCCCATTGCGATCCACCTCCCCACCTCCAGGCTTTCTGTTTCAGCAGCTCCCTGAAGTGAGCGCCATGACTGTGAATCGAGAAGGGAAGAAGCCCACAACTCTTCAGAAAAGAGCAGTTATTCTTAGCTTTGTTTTGCTGATGTTTTCTTTCCTTTTCTCCTTTTTTAAAGAAAACAGAAAGCCTGCCAAAACTTGGGCTCTTTGATGTGCTTTGGAAAGGAAAACAATGCTATCTATCCAAGCCCTCTGAAAGGAACAAAAATATGTCATTTTAAGGCATGAATTACTTGAGAGGAACAATCGATACATTTCACAATTAAGGATGGTCAAGAATTTTGAGGTGTTTTGCTGGAAATGTTTGATTAAGAAATTTCCAGAGACATTTTCCTGTTTCAGTGAACTTTATTAGAGAAAACTTCCAGAATTGTATGGTAGGTGAAAGGCAGGAGGGGGAAGAAAGAGGAAGAAATTGATATTTGCTGTAGAATATTCAATAATGTCCCTCGGAGATATCCTAGACCCCATTCAAGCTTTTCTTCTGTCCATTTGTATTGAGTATGTGGACCTGCCTCATCCATTTTATTCATCCTACTTTGGGATGAGTATAAAAAGCATCCATAAAAGCAGTATCTGTTCTGGTTTGTTTGTTGATTCAGCTTTGAGTGGAAACATTGCTTTATAGAAGTCTTCAGCTGCAAATGAGACACTGACTTCATTGTCTCCTAGTTAGGAAATTTGTTTAAGATGGAAGTATCCCAGTAATCTTTGGCCTGTAAATGCAGGGAAGCTTTTTATGCTGCTATCTCAGAAGTTGTAACTGAACTTCTGTTTGCCCTTTCTTTTTAAGGTTTCTCCTCCATTATCCCACCAAGTCTTGAAAGAGCTGATTTATGCAGTGAGAGTTTTTGACATTTTTATCAAGTCCAGACATTCCTTCTGCAATGTGATCAAGGAAGCACTTGTGTTATTTCTCTCTTTTTGTTGGAATTTTTACATATCTCCTTTTTTTTTGGCCATCCTATGACACTGCCTATTGCGTTGTTTGCACTCTCTGCTCTCCACTGCAGTGGCTGTATGGGAAATGCTTGTGCTTGTACAACTCAGCTTTAAAGAGGTTTTGGTTTATATCTAGCATTTCCAGTCGTGTTTTCAAAGAAAAATGAGCAGAAATTAGATATAGTCTGCAAATGACAAGGTTCGTTGCTTGAAGTTGATATGAAGATGTTTGTTCTCTCATTGTCTGTGCTGCACTTACGCATGGATTAAGATGGTTTACTTGGAAAGATCACTCCCTACCTCAAGTTCAGACTACTTATTAAGGTTAGACAGGTGAAGAAGCCTGACTTCCTGAAGAAGGGTGTTGGGTATTTCTTGGAGGTTTCTTACTTTGAGCATCTAAAAATTTGAGACTTCTCTAATCACCCTGTGAAAGTCCAGGCCGGGATTTCAGACTTTGAGGATACCAAGCAAATGCCTTAAATTAGAGGTTTCAATTAGAGAATATTAAATTCTCTTCTGTAACAGGAGATGGTTTAGGAGAAATGGGAATAGCCAGGTGGGAGTAATTGCTTTTGGAAGAGTTGTATGTGGGAGCTCTGCCCAGTACTTTCTGTTGTTATGGCTGTTTTCCTTCCACAGCTCAGGAAAACTCATATTCATGCACACTCTTACCCTTCCCTGGGATTCCCCAACTCGGAGACTGTCAGCATCGGCTTATTATACAAGCCCTTTGTTTTATCCTGTACAATACATCCCCCTATACACAATTTGGCCTCTTAACCTGCCATGAAATCTTTCAAGGGCTTGTTGCTGGAAGACATTGTCTCTCTTTGCTATGATTTGTGCAGCCGTGGCTGCATTTTCATGATGGCTTATAATGATTCGTGGTGGGTTGCAATACAATGAACTCATGGCGCAGAACAGCACACTGAAAAAGATCTTTCAAATTATTGTTCCGGTGCAAAAGGTGCCCAATCACCTTCCACCTGTGGATTAGCTGGTTGCTATAGGAACACTCTGTAGCTTTTCAGTGCTGCGCTACTGTAGTGCCCAGATTACTGACTGACAAACACAATAGGGGAAAAGAATCACGGGTTATTAGTGCTGCTGATGATGTGATGTTATAAACCTGGGGTGGCACAGAGCGGATGAATAGAGCAACAGCCTTGAAATGCGAAGGACAGGAGGAGGAGAGGGAGCAGAGTGAAGTGTTGCTAATGTCATCACTACAGAAATGTTGTCTTTGATCTTATTTTCCATTCTGAATAGATATTTTCATATAATGTTAAATGCAAGCAACGCTGTAACTGATGGCAGAGCCACTGGTCATGTCTACGTTAGTAGGGGGCTACTCCTCCTCCTTTCTCTTTTCTTCCAGTGAGTACTGAAATCTGAACCTTTTCATTCCTGCAGGATTAACTCTGACCAAGGTCAGAGCAATGAGTCACCAATATTCTTCATGGGAGAGTCAGGCCTCCTGCATCCCTGGGAAATACCACCTGAAATACCCACCTACACACAGGAGTTTAACAGGGAATTTTGCAGCATGAGAATTGTGTGGCTGAATAGCTGAGATCAGATCTCTGTCTACTTTGGTGGCCATAACCGAGACTCAGGAGTTTACGCCTCTGAGTGCCCTCCTGCAGAGCGAGCTACCTATGTGCTCCATAGGGGAGAAATAACTGCTCTCAGCTCTGATTTGTAGACGATCTGAAGTTCCCAGAAATAGCTTGGTTACCACTTGTGCTTGGTCAGGGTGAAGCAACGGAATAAAATATATCCTTGTCCATTGCTTGTGTGCCTTGAGCAAAACGAGCTGTGTTTAGTCACAAGTTCACCAGATGGTACTCTGGGGGTTATTGCTGTTATATTACATTACTGCAATCTATTAGATGAGGCGCAGTGATTCATTCTCTCTCCTCATTGCTTTAGGAGGCTCTGTTACCCTCCCAGTGGAAGCACAGCTGACCCTGCTGCTCATGACCCTTGAGACCCATGTTGGTGCATGTCCACCATGGGCAGGAAGGCCAGTCCAATAACAGCACCAGGCATTACAGAAAGACATGGTTTGCATTCATCTCTGTAGCCAGAGAACCACATGCATAAGTGACTCCACTTTCTGATTAGCCACCTGATTTGTAACACGGTTTTTTGCAACCCTGTTTCCTTCCTTTTCTGTATTCATACCCAACTTGTGTTGCCTTCACACTGAGCCCTTGCACTAGGCCTTTGAACTAGTGTGACCCTCTAAGCTGGGAAATGGCATTGCTCAACTACTTGTTTGCAGTTGAAGTACAGAGTTTGTGCTATACTTTTAGAGTCCAGAACTATCAAAATACCACTGAGAGGCATTGTTTTCCTCCACTTCTGCTACTCTGTAGGCTGAAACCTTGAGTCGAGTGAATTATGTGTTGACCGACACCTAACAACCCATACTGGATTGATGCCACATATGCATGCAGGGCATAGGTGCTGCTGTTGGTCAGCTGGACTGCCCCTGGGACCATCTGGCACCCTCTTTAGCCTCCCTGAATCCACCATTATGTTTACCGACCAGCTGCTTTTTCTCACTGCCAATGGCAAAGCTTCCCAAGCCACCATTTCCACTTGCTACTAAAGGAGACAAAGAAATACTACAGCCTTTTACCCTTTCCCAATAACCTTGAGCTTCTGGTGCCCTGAGGCCCTACCCCAGTTCACAGGTTGCCTTCTGCTCTGCAGCACTGTTGTCATGGTAGGATGCTAACATTAGCTTCCCTGGTGTCTTCTTGCTCTCCCTAGCCACAAGCACAGGATTATCTATTCCGCTTCCACAAATTAATGAATCCATAAGCAATACAAGAAGTGAGAGAACCTATTTTAGTTTTGCCTGAGGCATCTAAGAGAGTGATGAAGCAGGTTGGTCTGAACATGCTTGGATCAGAACTTCACCACAGGTGTTACTGTAATTTCAGGCAACTCGACAACTGCAAATTGGACCCTTTGTCCCTTAGATTATGCTTTTCATTTCATGTTCCTCTGAAGGAAAATGAATTTCCTGGGCTGAACTCCTGTCTGCAAATTCAGAGGGACAGGACACATTCTCCCTGTATAGTTTTAAATGGCTTTAAATGAGGACTTAAATGGAAATGGAGACGGACACCTAACCAGGGAAGTATGACAGTGTAGCTCCAATCAAATAATGGGAAAATCTTCCATTACCATAGTCATATGTATGTATGACCTTAGCAATGCCCAGGACTGCTATGGGAGCAACAGTGCAGCACTCCCGTTATGCCTTATTTTTTTATCAACAATGTTCTCCTTCACTTTGACGTCAGCTTCAAGATTGCTTGCTGTGATGTGCTGCACCTTTCATATTTCCTTTCCAGTCATAATATTGCTTCAGTCGTAACCTCAGCACTTTGAGAAATAATTGTCCCTGACAAGGGGGTGAATCACTGGCAGAGAGTTGATAAGCATTACATACAGATGACAGAAGTCAGGACATATCGGATTACTGCTGTGAATATAATAAAAGAGAGCCTAAACACTTTGGCAGCTCAAAGACAAGCCATTTCATAACTCTCTAGTGGGGCTATTATCTTCCATTTACTGCCACTGATAACCAGGTTGCAACTGTCTCCCTAGGATCTAGTTACAATTCATGTAACACTTAGAGGACCAGACATATTGGAGGACACTCAGATGAGGATAATTTCTTAAAGATCATTTATTTTTAAATTTTTATCTTCCTTGCTCCCCTCTTTATAGTGCGATAAGAACCTAAATCGGGAAGCTTTGAACTTCCTTCGGGAAAGGAGAGTTCATGGTCATCTTCCCTTTAATCTTTTACTCCTGAGGTTCTTTTGAAGCCAGTCATTCATATCCAGCTGAATAAGTGACAAGCAGGTTTCCACCTCTCTTGCTCTTGTAATACATGCACCTAGACCTAAAAGCTTGTTCTAATACTGACTCCATTAGGTTTCCATGTAGGTGTTATGTTTTTATTTTTGTAGGCAGGAAGGGGCACCTGAGCTTACAAATCAGGGGGTGTTGGTGTGCAGCAGTAGCAGATAACTTACAGCAGTGCCCATTACAATCTACGTGGATGGAATCTGGATACAGGTGGTATTTATATACACTGCATGGGATTTTGTTGCCAAACTTCAGTGCCTAAGATTGGTTTAACACTTCAGGCTCTTTGATGTCAAAAAATCTCTCTTTTACGCTAAAGACAAAAAGAATTACTTTGCTATGGCAGAAATCTGGCAAATGAGCAGTGAATCTCCTTACTATCCAGCACACCTTTGAGAAATACTTACTAAGCTTAGGGATGAAACTTTCTCTGTGTGAAGTGAAACTATATTCTGCAAAATTTTTCTCCTGAAGCGATACCATGAGCAGCATGTGTGAGCTCACCTCAGCTTTCAATATACAAGGTGTTTTTAGATGCAAGACAAAAGCTGTTTCACTCTCAGACTGACGATACATATATACAGCTGTAGATGGGAACCTTATTTTGTAAGTTTGGCCACATAAATCCATACACAGATTCGTGTCTGCCAGAGCCTCCTTCACAGCCACTGGGTGCAGAATGTCTTTGCAAAGATGGTTCAGAAGGGGAGGGCTTCTGAAGGCAAGTGCTGTTGGCAACTCAGAGGTTGCACATTCGTAAGTGTATTCCTAGACTCCATGTTATAATGTTCTCCTTACATTCTCATTGCTGGAAGTTCTGCAAAGAAGCCTCTCTACATGTGTTTGATCAGCCAGATTTGGTGAATTAGGAACTAAAACATCCTCCTCTCCCTGCCACTTACATCTTTATCTCCCATTGCAAACTTTATGTCTTAGCTGCCCAAATTGAGGTCCTTACTGTTACAGATAAATCATCACAAATCTATTTGGAGAAAAATTGAATCAGGCTTTCTTAAACTACAAATAGTAAGTTTAAATTTGCCAACTCAGTACAGTTTGCATCCCTGCTTGATTTTTCACAGCACAAGTCCTCTGCTCCGGAGAGCCAATAAAGGACAACAGCAATTAAGGGGGGAGGAAAAAAGTTAAGTCATTGTTGAAACAGTAATTCCAAGTGGTTTCTCTTCAGGACTTCTGGATCTTACCACTAACCTTCTTACAGCCAGAGAAAGCCAACTGAATACCTTTGTGCCCTGCTTTATCCATCTGTAAAATAAGGGTGATCAATCTTACCTGCGCGACAGTTTTGTCACATGCTGCAACCAAGTAATATCTGTAAATTGCTTTAAGATGTTGAGATCAAGGGAATGATGGAAGTGCCAAGTGTTGTTGTTGTTTCTGTATTAACAATGTTGGCTGTTTTCACTGTTCATATGGTAGCCTGGCTGGAATTGGGCAGGAAGCCCAACAATACCAGCAACCAACAAGAAACTAAAATAAAATGTTTTACTTAATGAGCGCCTCTGTTTAATCAGAAGCCTGTGTAATTATGTCACAGAGGGCTAAGGATCTAATGTTTTCCTAATACGTTTGCTTTTAAAGGGACGATTAACCTGGCATATTTCAAGATGATAAGCTGCTTCTTTGTTCAGTTCCAGTTATGTTTTTCTGCATTCCCTGGTGGATCCAGAGAGAACCTGAGAGTCAGAGGCTTTTTCTTAATTGCACAGTAACTGTCTTGTATGTCTGATGCTAGAGTATTTTCTAAAGACACAGGTTATTAGTCCTAGGTTGGATGAGTTTGCAAGAGAATTCAGGTGCTGAATTTATTCTGTTTTGGCTCCTCTGAGGCATGGCATATATTACAGGAAGCTCTCAGTATGTTTGCCTTAAACAGGCAATGCTCTTAGAAAGCACTTTGGCTAGGAAGAAGGGATAAAACTATACCTTCCCTTGAATCCAATAAATCCTGTTTTAAGTAAGAGATTGTTTTCAGTTTACTTCTAAGAGGTACATGTCAACACGCATTTTACAATATCTTTGTACATGTCTGTCCAGTTGGTACTTCTCAAATGTTTTGAAGAGAATAAAGAGGAAAAGAGCTCTTTACCTCCTGAAGACGGTTGTCTGAAGAGATACTAAACAGTATTCTATATTGAGATTTCAGGGAAGATATTTATGCTGTAAGGCACACAGGGAGTGATTTTATGTCATGTATATATGAGATCCTCTGATCTAGCCTTCTGTGAAAAGGTTAGATAAACTACATTATGTTCACACCTTTTAGGTGTTTGATCATTTCTATTCTTGAAGATCTTGAGGGCAGAAGATCCCATGGGCCCTCCAGGGAACATACCCCAGCACTTTGCCAGTAAGGATGTTTTCTAGTATCTAAGCAGGCTCTTCTGTGTCATGTTTTGGTTTGCCATGATAAGGGTGTGTCGTGGTTTAAACCCAGTCAAGAAGAAGAAGACACATTATCGCCTTCTACTTCCTCTGGCAGATAGCCCCACACATGAACATTATGTGTTTATGGTGAGATCATTTACTAGGTATTTGTTCAAACCCTTTCACAACATATTTCATCTTTGTGTTTAGGTGTGAGAATAGTGAGAATGAGATACTTTTTTTCATATAGCAGGGTAGTCCTAGATATTCCTTGATTGCTGTAAATTGCTTTTAAAGGGAAAAAAATGGAGCCATCAGCCATATGGGAATTTGTAGAAAGGAAAGAGTTAATAATATCATGATCAGGTCAGCAAGTTTGAAAGGCTCTTCCACTTTGAAAACCATTTTCTTAATTATTTTAAGTTAACACTTAAATGCATAGAAAAAAAATCACGTGTAATCTGAAACCCCAGACATGGGGACAGGACTGGATTGAGATAACATTAAAGATTTTATTGCTGTTACATTATAAATTATTTCTATTATGATGGCCCAGTGGGTATTACATTCTGTCAGTTCGCTTTCGCTGTTACATCACTTAATGTTATTAACACACTTTAGGGTATAACATTACAGTTTTATTGTGGAAACCTTAAACACTTACATCCAAAGTACTGAATCAAGTTATTATCTTAGCTGACCAGATCTGGTCTATTATCGTTTTATCACTCATAAAAACCTGTGATTCAATTTGATTTAACACTTGATGAAAAAATCATGGCTTATATATGCTTAAACCTAGTTGCAATATTAATACAAAGCAACACATGGATGACTTCATTTTATTAAAGTTGAGGTAGCCCTGGGAACTGCATTTATGATCTTTACGCCACATGAGAAATTTGATCTGACCTGTTGGCATTTGTGAACTAGTAAACTGATTTCTCACCAGTATATTAAAGAATTGTGAATATTTTTTATCTTTCTTATTGCAGTCATTATCCACTCGGAGACCATACATTGACGAGAGTGTGCTAACCAAGGAAAAAGGTATCTCTCCCTGTCTCAGAGTCCTTTTAGACTGGAAAAATGTTGTACTTTGAAAGGCAACTCACAGTGCTCCACTGAGTTTAATATAAGAAAGAAATTAGGCCCTTGTTTCTCTGTAGTCTGTATAGGCCAGCAAAGATCTTTAACACTTGCACAATATTTAGAGGCAGGAGAGGTTCCACTGAAGTCTCTGGTCAGCATTGTGCAGACAGTTGATTATCAGCTTTGGTTATCTAGCTGAGCCAAAATAAGAATACATTGGTTGGCACTGCCTGAAGTATTTCAAATCTTACTTAGGTTATGTGTTGTTTGCTTTGAGGAGAAGGTGGAAAACTGCATGTGAAATTTAAAGTGTATTTAAGAAATGAAAAATCAGGATGGTTTACATGTTAAAAATATCAAAATGGGACATTTCGTCTTTTTCACTTCAGGGGGAGGAAGAAGACAAAACTATGCTGGTGTGCAAAAGCGGTGCTGAATAACCCTAGAAAGGAGGTCTACTCCTGCATCCCATTTCCCACTGAAGTCGGAGGAGGAGTTTGCTCAGCCCAACATGCAGGAGTTCACCAACACAATGGCTTTCCAAGCAGTTGGGTGGACACACGGAACCAACCAGTCCCATTCTGGCATGCGCATGAAATCTCCCTAGCAACAAAGATGACAGCTTGGTAACAGCAGCTGCTGCTTAATGGAAAACATTAGAAAAATAACTCATTCTGGATCTATGTTCCCTCTTTACATTTTCATATTTATCACAAGAAAAAAACACCCCACACCATCCAGAACTTTAAAAAGCTTTAAGGCACAAGGGTCAGACACACAGCTGTGCATGTAAAGAGATGAGCTTCAAAAGTGTGATTTTGTTATCCTGGCACATACATTTTTCTTTTTAGCCACAGCTATATTGTTTGTGACTTAACAAGTGGGCCTGTGTACATGTTGTGGGAGTGCCATGGATGTGCTATTATTTATTCTTGCATCAAACATGAGAGAAGGCCAAATATGTGTTAAATTCCAAGTCAGCATTTTTGGTTACTGTTGCTTGAAGTACATCCATTTCTTCAAGTATATCAGAGCTTGGTTCAACAGAAAGGATTTAGTATCCATACAAAAGCAAATCCGTGTGTCTGGTAAAATCTCCCCCTTTTTATTTCTTTAATAAAAGCAAACACCAAATTATTTTTTCTTCTGTTGTTAGTGTTCTGAAAAAGTCCAGTGAAGACATAAAGACAAGTATATAGCAGCTTCCTGAAATGAAAAACAAATCAGAGTAGAGCTACATCACCATGTGAAATAGACAAATTAGGTGGAGATACATTAACTACTGTCATTCATCAGTCTGAAGTGATACAATTTACTACATGGTAATAATGGCCATAGTTGTATAAGTAGTAAAGGTAAAATTACATCATGACTTGCATTAGCAGTATGAGATTATATCCTGATTAATGCACAATTAACTTGTCATGTGTACAGCGCATGTGTTTGTGTGTGCACAGCTGGGTTATGCTATGTCTCATGCTCACATATGTAGCATTTATCACTTTCTTCTCTATCTCCAGAAATTAAATGGCTTCATCTACTAAAATCCATAAACACGCTGCCAGCTTAATGCAGAGCCATCTAAAGTACAACTAAGAGACCCTTGGAGATGACCACTGGAGAATCTTGAACACCTGCACGAATCCTCTCCACAGACTGGGAGCTGCATCCACAGCTCCAAGGAGACATCTCCAGGGTGAGAGCAACAACCTTGCCTGCTCTTCGGCTGGCAGGCACCAGGACCTGAACTGTTCTCAGAGATGTATATCAGAGCTCCTACTCCCAAGAGAAAGCCCCCAACACACAAAATGACCACGGGTGAGGAATTCCTTTGCTCCTTTTTTAGTCTGATTTTGCAGGGGAAAATAATTAAGCTAAAGGGGCAGCTGAGAAGGGTTTTTACTTTTAGTTGCAATTATGGATGGAGGTGCCTCAACTTCACACAAACTCCTCTGTAAACAGAGAACTATGTTATGTGTCCATGTGCTGACATTCAGATGTGCCTATTGGTATGCTCCCTCCCTCTGTTTTTTTTCAGTTGTGAATGTGTGTGGCTACACATCTGGGTGTATGCAAACACGTACAAAATAGTGAGGTAGTAAACACTGTTGAGGGGAAACAAAAGACCTCCAAGTTTTAATCTCTGTTCTATCACAAACTCAGTGTTTGTCCTTGAGAAGCTCATTTTAATGTCTCTTACCAGGTTTCTCAGCCTGAAGTGAGGGGGAGGGATAATAACGTTGTTATGCTAGCCTACCTCACGCTGTATGTGATACTCAGTTAGCTGTTTGAAGTTGCAAATTGCTGAGTGATGATGGAACATAACTTTTCAAAATAAATGGCATCAGATTTTATTTTTTTCCACACTTTTTAGTACTAAAATCTACTAGAAAGGGTTGGCTGACTTTGATCCTTCCTGTGCTTTATTTTCACATTTGATGCTTCTCCCCAGTTCCAACACCAAATGATGGTCATTTTCCAGCACTTCCAATTGAGAAGAAAAAGCTCATATAGCAAGGAAAAAAATCTAATCATTTTGTTGTCCTGAAATTTCTTTTGCAGCTGCCAGTATCGAGTATTTGCTGGTTTGGGTATAAGGCACCCAGCATTTGGGAGCATGCAGATTTTGAGTCCCAATTTTGCACATCTTGAGTGTTCAAAAGATGAAGAGAATCATATTATGTTTGAATTTAACTGTTAGAATATTTTTAAGTTCTTCAGAATTACTTTTGCTGAATAGAACTTAGCAGAGTAGAAATACTGTTTAAAACCTGGACGGCTACAAAATATCCTTTATATTATATTTCTTCTGTCTAGAGTAGACATTTGACTCTGTCCCAGACAAGTAGTCCATTTTTGTCATTAGGGATTGACTTTATTATGCTGTAGTCTCCATTTTCAGTATATCATGAGAGATACCATCAGGAGATGATGCTACAGAAAGCTGGCCAAGGCTTCATTTACACAGGTAAAAATGACAAGTGATGTGACCATTTATGTGAATTTTAATTCCTGATACAACAAAACTCAAATATTTTTTTACATTGGCATTAAGCCTGTATTTGAGTGCACATTAGGCCTTAGACAAGCATAGGAGAGACAAGAATCCAGTCTGCTCCCTTTGAGATGTCACCAAAAGTGCATTATCAAAAATAAAATCAATCTCTCCCCTTCTTCAGGAGTGGTTTGTGTGTCTCTTGAAGTACTTCAAGATGACAGAAGACAGACGCTTCCAATTGCACCAGCTGAAATAACTGACTTAGTCTTCACTTGTAAGAGTGAATTTAAGATTCAATGATATCAACGCTTACATTGTCCAAGGAAAAAGGTAGGAGAAAAACAGATCATTTCCTTCATTGCTAATCTCACTATTAATAAGAATTGTCAAGTCTGAAAATCTAAGTAATGGAGACTTGGGGCATGTTGAGAATTCAGGCAAAATACTTTGGGTTGAAGTAGTTACTACAAGTCTGAAACATTTCAGTGTTAAACCATTAAAAGTAAATTAAAAATACTGTAATTACATTTTAGACAGATGCCCACTTCAAACCAAGAAATGGAAAAAAATGCTTAAATTACACCCCACCCCCCCACCCCCCCAGTCATGTCATTCTCAAGATAATGTTTTGAGTGGGAAAAGAAGAAAAAGAAACAAACAGTCAAATGGATTTCACACTGCCAAACGGGTATTCTTTCTGACAAAAAAGTTCTGTGCAGAACTTGGTCCAAGCAGACAATTAATTTTTGCTGCTGTTCAGAAGACATCACAGCTCACAGAAAACCGGCACAATCACTGGCTCACACCTGTGTTAATTCCCCAAGTACCCTCCCAAGGGCTGGAGCCTTCCCAAGACAGACACAGGTAACTTCTCAGCCACAAATAGCTGTTTGCCCTCTGCGCTGTTCGCGACCAAATAAATTAGAGGAAGCCACACTGTGCGGTTAGCACCGGCTCTGCTGTCTGGGAGGGCTAGACATTAATGCTTAATTTTGCTTTTTGAAATTCCCTCTCAGCCCCAATTATTGACGTCTAGGCAGGAAGCCTGTGAGAGCTTAAGGGATCTGACATCCATGACTAAGACAGTTAATACGCTTTGTCAAACAGCGACTAACACGAGCCAGGTAGCAGCTCGCCTGCTAGCATTACAGAGCAGAAATCGGAGGGGTTTGGGGTGCATCCTTCAAGCTTCAGGAGCTGCTTTGCAATGTTTTTGAGCAGAGAGCATTCGAGGCAAGTGCAAAAGATTATTTCCCCCCCCCCCCCCTTCCTCCTCCTCCAGTCCCCATCAGTCCCCAGCCCAGCCTGTAATTTGGCAAGATGAATGAAGTGTTTTCGGAGTGTCATCACTTCTGCCTCTGGCAGATTTGCTTCCCCAGTCTGCCTTTCGCCTTTTGGACCTGTCACTCAGCCCTTTGGCAGAGGGGAGGAGGGGGAGGGAGGAGGAAATCATCTCTTTGCTAATCACCTATCACAAGCAATGAAATCCCGCAGGCTCCGTGCCAGCTAGGTACATTTCAAAGGGAAACGGAGGGGGGCAAAGTGTCACTCAAGGCAGATATTTATGAAAGATGACAGTTTGCAAATATCTCAATCTTGGACAAGGCTGCTCCAGTGACACAGAGGAGTGCTGCAAAATTGGAAGAGTCAGCAGCCAACATTTATTTCATCAGGACCTGTCCAATCTTCAGTGATCGCTTGACAGTCTGGGGATTGCTGGCACAAGCCGGCCTCTTTTCTATTGGTTGCTTTCATTTAGTTTGCATGGATCAGTCTAAAGAGTTGTAATAAATATGTAAAGAAGGATAAAGGGAGTAGTTTTGCAGACCTGCATCCTCAGTGGCAGAACCGGCACAAACCCCCTTTTTAGCTATGCCAAATAGCAACAGCAGTAATTACATCTCTATTGATCGTGGGAACAATGAGATACAGGCTGTGTCTCACTCATGGAGACCCCCCATGACATCCAGGCTCCCCCCATTGCCACCAGCAGCTGCCACAGCAGTACTGGTTTCTCTGAGGAACTTTTCTTCTGCCACCCCCAGCTATCAACACCGTACGGGAGGAGTGGCATTGAATGTCTGCTGCACCTGCAGGAGCCAGGTGAACGTTTCACGCTCATCCAGGGAGCCCGGGGTGAGCTGAGGTACGTGCCCAGCCCCTCATCCACCTTCCACACTGAGGTAACTCCACCATGGCAGGCAGCTCAGCCAATCAGGGCGTCCAGCGCCATTATGTGACCAATGCAAGGGTTTATGTCCCGCCCTGCTGCACTCAGCCACCTCGTGGAGGCGCCATTTTGAGCCGTGGAGGTTGACTTGGGTGGAGGGATTTCGCACAGAGCGTGTCTCAGGTATGATGGTGGTGTGTGTCCAGCACCAGGGAATACAGTCACTGCAGGGAGCGGGCTGGACGGGGAGGAGGGAACTGGGGAATTCCAGGCTTCGGCAGGTGGGAGGGGAAGCAGCAGTGGGGAGGAGCTGTGTTCACACGTAGGGCAATGGGGTGTGAAGTGGGCAGTGAGCTGAGGGCTGCCGAGCTGTGCTGCTGCAGGTTGTGAGGGCCCCCTCAGGCAGCAGAAAGGCACATGCCAGTGCTGAAGTGTTGTTGCCATCAGCTATGCAGCAGGAAATAACAGATAACTCATGCTCCTAAGGGGGCTGGTTCCAGCACTGGTTCTCTGCCTTGTTCTGTAGGGACTGTACCTTAAAGCTTTGAGGACCTGGATTGCTGATCATAGAGTACATGCTTCTGCCTCTCAGTTGCCCCTGTTATTTCACTTGCACATGTTACAAGCTAATTGAGAGGACAGTAGCACAAAAATGCTGTGTCCTACAGGAACAGTAGCCTAACGGATTGAATTACTCTGCTGTGGGCTGAGAAGCAGCAAACAGTTTCTGAAGTGCTGTGTTAGAAAGGTCGAAAGTAAATGCACTTATTGACAGCAGCAGAGGAACAAATGCAGGGAGTTGGCATAAAACCTGGAATTTCTGAGTGAAGACGTTTCCTTTCTTAGAATTAACAATGAATTGTAGGTAATAGGTGGAATAATCCTGTCTCAGTATTCACTATTTTCATGGTCAAATGCAGGGTCTAGAAGGAGAGGCTAATTAACCGCTTGCTGTGTGGTGGTTGCTTGCATCTCAGCCACTGAGGGTATGTGTGTGTGTGACTCATGAGAAGTAACATGGATGGAGGTGGATTATGTTAGCAGAATGCAAAACTGCCCTTCTGTTTTAGGGTTTTAGCAATTGAAATGGATCGTGAATTCAATTAAAGGCCTTGTTCTTCCTTTCTTTATGCCTTGCATATCTTAGAGTTTTGCTTAACTTAAACTAAACTGTGGCATAAAACAGCACCCTTAGTTCAGTCATCAAAAAGTATTTTCTCAGATCTCTGAGGTTCAGTCAAGACACACATGGTGACAAGTGGGAAGATGTTAGAGATCCAGAGGAAAGAAGCTACCATTGCTTTTAGTCTAGTATATTTCTAGTATATTTCAAGACAACAGGTAACTCATAGATGTCAGTAGGACTGTGTTACTCTCCAAAAGCAATAGTGAAAGGAAATGAAATGTACCAACAAGCTCTGCCTATTCAGAGTTCAACAATGTAGAGTGGGAGTATTCCCCAGAGGTTCCTGGAAGTGCAGCTTGCTTTTCTTAAACACTCAGTTCATTTGTATTTACAGATATACTGAGGCCAGTATACTTGTGATGTAGACCCTAAGGTTAATTTCATGCTAGCCAGAGTGGTAAAGCTGTGATGGTCTTCACTGTGTACTGCACTAGGCTGTTCAAAACTGGCATGGAGAATCCTCCTACGCAAGTTTCTCTTTTGGCCTACTCTGGCAGCCCACAGAGAAGCTGATCAGCTGAGTGGGTGAGGGAGAGGTTAGCATGCTCACTTCACTCTATTATAAATATCTTTGCCAAAACAAATTATTCTTATACAAGGATTCATGGGTAAATCTTCCATCACTGGGGAGGAAAAAAAATGAAGGGCTATAAAAGTCTAGTTAATCACTGCACACACTGCAAGGAGCAGAAGGCCATTTCAGAGTAATTGGAGTTATCTTCATTATTCTTATTTTCAATTACATTTCAAAATCAAATAACAAGTTGCCTTTTAGACAGCTTCATGATCTAAATCCCAGTTCTGTAATTTTTACTTAGTGCTGACTTAGACAAAAGTTCTCCTTGATTGTAGTGGCCTTTTAGCTTCTTGAAGAAACTTCATGGAAAAAAAGATACTTAGAAAGTTTTGGTCTTTAAAAAAGCAGAATCCCAAGCTGTCCACCCAAATGCCCACGTAGTTCTTGCAAGTCACCTGTCCTGTTATTTAAATCTGTATACAAATAACCGCTTTTCAGGTGCCATCTTGACACCAATTAAACACACAGCTGTGCATCTGTTCATGTGTAGGGCAAGATTACTGATGTGTTGTAACTCAGGCATTGCTGTTACTGCAGAGTAAGCAGAATGATTCTTAATAATTATTAAACAGTTGATGAAAAAAAATTAATGGCTGCATCTAAACTATCGAAAGCAGGTGTGCAGTCTGTTTCTTTACTGGCCTTCATGGAGGTAGTTGGCTGTGCTATGAGTTAAAAGTTAGTGGGCTGATACTTGCTTATGCTGAAGTGTGCAGGGAAAGTGTCCTCAAAAGTTTTTGGTTCTGGGGTGCAATGTAAGAATTGTTATCAGAGCAGGTCTCTGATAGTTACAGCGACATCTCTTGTAGGTTTCTAGTTACTTTTCTGGAGTATTCCTGTACATACAAATCCGCACATACATGTGCATTTATGTGCGTATATCCTTATGTCAACACTAACCATCTTGGCAAGATAGACCCTGGCTATCAGGAAGGTGCTTCTCTTTCTCAGATCAACACAGTTCTGTCTCTCTTCATAAGGCATAAAAGTGATAGAGTCTATAGAAAGTTATATGCCTGCATGACAGGAAGGAAGGGTACTTAAAAAAAAAAACAAAACACCAAACTACTCCAAAGAGAAACAACCCAAACCAGAGAATCGCAACCAAAACTCTCAATGTTATTCAGTGGATTTCATCCCACGGGACAGGTGTTTCCATACAGGTCAGGGGAAAAATTACCACCTTCTTTTCTTGAATATCACTTTTCATATGGTAAATCCCTCAGAGTCTTTATTGTGGAATGAATAATAGATTAATCATTCCTCTGTGTGCAATGCCGGGGCTCTCTAATGTCACTGATTATTCTATATTGAATAAATAGTGTTGCTAGGTTGATATGTTTAAGGCAAATGAGATGCTTATTGGTATCCAAGAAGCCAGTTAACAAGATCCATTT